TTTTATATTTCGATTCTAAATTCACAATTTTCATTCCAACTTTGATTTTTCAAAATCTTTGTAAGAAATAACCAAAGATTACGTATCTTCACCCACAATTTGCGACTTTATTTGTATTTGTTTGTTTCAGGTTTAAATTTTATGGAAATAAAAATATTGTTCATGTTAATTCCGAGCTGTGGGTGGAAGGGTGGGCTCGGGCGCATGTTTTTCGTCACAATATGTGGCGAAAAACTTGCGCAAATTGTAAGTGCCTTTTGTTCTAACTTGCACTCATCTTCACAATATTTTAACTTGTTACATATTAGACTGTTGCAAATTAGATTTTTACATATTAGATTGTTAGAAATTAGATTTTTACATATTAGATTGTAGTAATAGTCTATCATTTTTATTGCCAATTGCTCGAAACTTAAAAGAAAGTTCTTCCAACTTTCTTCTTTAACCCTTTTCTTTATAAAGTTTTAAATTATACGAGTGCAATTTTAGAATAAAAGGCACATTTAGGACATTTGTTTAAAAGGCACATTTAGGACTTTTGTTATAAGTATTGTAATATGCGTGAGTGTGTGAGTGAGTGAAAATGTGAGTATTAAAAGTTGCGTCTATTGTAATATATTGTAGTGTGAATGAGTACATCTGTGAATGGCGTATACGCAAAAATTGAAAACATCAGTCATCTAGGTATCATCTAGGTATCATCGAGGGATCATCGCGGGATCATCGAGGGATCATCGAGGGTTGCGTGCGTTAACTTTAAGTTATTTTTATGCGTGCGTTAACTTTAAGTTATTTTTATGCGTGAATTAATTTTAAGTGTATGCTTGTGGAAAGGGTGGGTGAGTCCCTGTAAGTGCCTCTAATTCTAACTTGCACTCTCTTTGACAATTCTCAAACTTTGTACGCGTTAGCTTGTAGTATACTCAGTTATTTTTTGTCAATCGTTCCAAACCCAAGTGGATCATTGGGGGTTCATAGCGCTGTGAACACGCGGCAGGGGTGAGCTGCAAGTGCTGGTGTAGCGCCAGGGACACATCTCTGCGGGGCCGATCGATTGATGAACCATCTCGATCTGCCGCCTCACGGCAGGGGTTTCCTCTCTGCGGTCAGACTTTTTCAAACGCAAGCGGCGGAGAAATGGGAAACCCTCCGCGGATGTGTCACTCGTTCTTGCCAGTATTTTCGGTTCATCTCTGTCTCGTGGTTCACGTAAGCCACTGTGGACTACCCTTTGACCCATGGAAGGCGAGGTTCACTTGGCGAAAAATACTGATCCCCTTTTTTCACAGAAAGTTCTTCTAACTTTCTTTGCCTTTTGACAGAAAGTTCTTCTAACTTTCTTTTCTACCCCTTTGCTTTTTTACTTCGTCATAGATTATACGAGTGCAATTTTAGAATAAAAGGCGCATTTAGGACTTTTGTTATAAGTATTGTAGTATGCGTGAGTGTGTGAGTGGGTGAAAATGTCAGTATTAAAAGTTGCGTCTATTGTAATATATTGTAGTGTGAATGAGTGCATATGTGAATGGCGTATACGCAAAGATTGAAAACATTAATCATCTAGGGATCATTTAGGTATCATCGAGGGATCATCGTGGGATCGTCGAGGGATCATCGAGGGATGCGTGCGTTAATTTTAAGCTATTTTTATGCGTGCGTTAATTTTAAGCTGTTTTTATGCGTGCGTTAATTTTAAGTTAAGTGTGCTCGTGGGTGGGC